TATTTTTTATTAAATACATTTTCTCTTTACTTGTACATAAAACCAAGGGGTAGGGTGATGTCTGGCCAATCTATACATAGAATTTCAAAAGGGAGGGGGAAAGGGTAAGGGGAGGGGGAAGGGGGAAGTGTGAAGGGGGTGTAAGTGAGGGGGGGGTTCTGTCGGCTTCCAATCTTCTCCGATTATCCTCTACTCTTCTGTTTCCTTATATCTGTAGAAAATCTTCCACTCCACTTCTATTGTAATCTTAATGTTTCTTCTAATTCCTGTCTCTTCTATATTGCATTCCTGTGTCCTACTATTCCTTTTCTTTTTGTTATTTTTTCAGTTTGTTTTCTTCGGTGAGAAAATCATCCACCAATTTCCAATTTGTCTTTATAATTGGCCTACCATAAGATTCTTTTAGGGCAGACGTTAATTTATCCACGCCCTTAATTTCTTGGATTTTATTTAGCCATTCTTCTTTCATTGCAAATTCACTTTGCTTCCATTTTTTTGCTACTACCATTCTCGCTGCACTAGAAAGGTATGTAAATAGAATATCATTATTTCGGTCCCGTTCCAAAGCGACTTTGTCCACAAAGTACTGAGCAAAAGCTTCACAGCGGGCTGCCGAGTCGTCAGGGGACCCATCCTGGAAGGTGGGCTTCAACAACCCTCTGACTGCTCGAAACAACTCCGCCGGATGGTTCCTTGCGGACGCAATATTAGCCAAATAGAAAGAATTTTGTGCAGCCTCTATTGCCGCGCCGTACGCCCTTGAATAAAGGCATAGGCGTGTTCGGTTTGACTCGCAAAGCTTTTTCCGCCACACGCTCTCTAGCCACCTCTTTGTTCGCTTCATCGCTGCCAACTCCTCGTTGAACCAAGGAGAAGGTTCAGCTCGGTTACTTAAGAGGGGGCACTCCGGAGCGATCGTGTCTATTGCCCTAGTCAACTCATTATTCCAATGGGAGACCAGAGCATCGACAGAATGGCTCTTGTAGGTGTCTTCCACCTCTAGGATTCTATGACACACCTATATCTCATTCTCATGTATATATATATGCACACACACACAATACATATATGCATACATACATAAACACATACGCACTGTAGCCTTCAATACTGTTGACCACTGTATCCTTCTGGATCGCCTTGTGGGAATGGGCCTTGGGGGCACTGTTCTGCAGTGGCTCCAGTCTTCCTAGAGGGCCGTTCCCAGAAGGTGTTGTTGGGGGACACCTGCTCAGCCCTGCACCCATTGTCCTGTGGGGGTCGCACAGGGATCAATACTGTCCCCCATGTTGTTTTAACATCTACATGAAGCTGTTGGGTGAGATCATCTGGAGTTTTGGACTTTGATGTCATCTGTATGCAGATAATGTTAATCACTCCTGTCCATGTGCTGCTAAGGAGGCTGTTCAGGTCTTGAACCAGTGCTTGGCAGCTGTAATGGTCTGGATGAGGGCGAATCCTGACAAGACAGAGGCCAAACAGTGCATAAGGTTACAGCGTGTGTTGGATGGGGTTACACTCCCCCTGGAGACTTAGGTTAACATCTTGGGAGTGATCCTGGACTCATTGCTGAGCCTGGAACCCCAGGTCTCGACGGTGGCAAGGGGAGCATTCACACAAGTAAAACTTGTGCGCCAGTTGCGGCCGTAATAATAAATAATAATAATAAACTTTATTTGTACCCTGCTACCATCTCCCCAATGGACTTGGTGCGGCTTACATGAGGCCAAGCCCAAACTACATCAAACAAAACATCAATAAACACAACTTCAATAAACAATCAATAAAATACAAATCATATAAATCACATAAACAAAAAACAATCAATAGTGACATAAACAATTTTAAAAATGGCCGGGCCAAATGTAATAGATTAAAATTGAAAATATGCTGATGTGAACAAGGTAAAATATAACTGGGAAGTCAGACTTTCCCACATTAGTTCATGCTCCGGTTATATCCTGTATAGACTACTGCAACACACTCTAAATGGGGTTGCCTTTGAAGACTGTTCGGAAGCTGCAAATGGTCCAAGGGGTGGCAGCCAGATTGCTCATCGGAGCAGCGTTCAAGGAGCATACATCTCCCTTGTTACACCAGCTCCACTGGCTGCCAATTTGCTACTAAGCACAATTCAAGTGCTGACTTTAACCTATAAAGCCCTAAACGGTTCCGGCCCAGCTTACCTGTCTGAACGTATCTCTCCCTATGAACCATCTCGGAGTTTTAGATCATCTGGGGAGGCCGTGCTCTCAGTCCCACCTTCTTCGCAGGTGCAACTGGCGAGGACAAGAGACAGGGCCTTCCTTCTCCGTGGTGGCCCCTTGGCTGTGGAATTCCCTCCCTAGGGAAATTAGATCAGCCCCTTCCCTCCTGACCTTCTGCAGAAAAGTGAAAACATGGCTTCTTAAGCAAGCCTTTGGGAATCTTGTGCAATAGATAAACAGAACTATGTGAAATCTAATACTGGAACGGCTTAGATGATGTTTTTGGACGACGAGGCTAATAGTGAAGGTAGTGGTTTTATATGTTTTTAAAGGTTTCAATGTATGTATTTTACAATTCTGTTTTAAATGTTTATTATGTTTATTGTAATTTTTGCATTTTTTTAATGGCATTGAATAGCTGCCTATGTTGTAAAGCCGTCTTGAGTCACCTTCAGGTTCAAGAAAGGCAGGGTAGAAATATAAATAAATGGATGGATGGATGGATGGCCATCTGTCGGGGGGGTTCTGACAGTTCCCTTCCTGCCTGGCGCGAATAGGGTTGAACTGGATGGCCCTTGGGGTCCCTTCACCTCTAGGAATATATCCTATTCCTATTCTATCCCTGTCTCAGTCATCGCTATCTGTGTCTGGATGGCCATCTGGGATTGGGTGGTGCCTTTTCCTGGGTGTTACACCCTCTTCCAAGGGATTGGGCCTGCAGCCAAGTCGGGATCGCTTGGCAACGGCCTGCCTCGTGTCTTGGATGCGGCCTGGGCATCAAAAGCTTAAGCTGGTTACTTAACGGCCACCTCGCGGCGACAGCCTTTCCCTGCCGTGTGCGGCAACCTAGTTTATCCCCTATGGGAAGTCATATCTCCTTATATGGACTCAGGGTGCCTTACAATAACGTTGTTATTATTATTATTATTATTATTGTTATTATTATTATTATTATCTACCCATAGGGACTAACAATAATAATAAAAATTATTATTATTATTATTATTATTATCTTTGTCAACGGCAAAAGGCCAGCTTACTTGGATCTGCATTCGAAAATACATCACACAGTCCTAGATGCTTGGGAAGTGTTAGACTTTGCTGTGATTTTGTGATACGAAATCCAGCATAGATATCCCATTTGCTGTGACATACTGTGTTTTTGTGACAGTAAAATAATAATATCCCCATGGGAACTTAATGCAGCTATTGCTATTGTTATATCCTACCCATGTGGAATAATAATAATAATGATAATAATAATATCCCCCATGGGAACTCAATGCAGCTATTATTATTATTATTATTATTATTATTATTATTATTATTATTATTATTATTTTCTACCCATGAGGACTAATCATCATCATCATCTCCTCATGGGAACTCAAGGCGGCTATTATTATTATTATTATTATTATTATTATTATTATTATCTGTATTTCTATCCCACCTTGCTCCCCATAGGGACTGAAGGTGGCTTACAATAATTATAACTATTATTATTATTATTATATTCTATTATTAGAATATAATTTCAGCTGGTCCAGCGGGCGGCGGCCAGGTTGTTGACTGGTGCTCCTTACAGAGAGAGGTCAACCCTCCTGTTTAAGGAGGGTTTGGCTGCCGTTCATTTTCCAGTCCCAATTCAAGGTGCAGGTGCTTACCTACAAAGCCCGAAACGGTTTGGGACCTGCCTACCTGCGTGACCGCATCTCCGTATATGAACCCACACATTCCCTCCGTTCATCTGGAGAGGCCCTGCTCGCGATCCCACCTGCGTCACAAGCGCGCTTGGTGGGGACGAGAGACAGGGCCTTCTCTGTGGTGGCCCCCCGACTCTGGAACACCCTCCCCAAGGACATCAGACAAGCCCCAACGTTGGCAGTCTTTAGGAAGAGCTTGAAGACTGGCTGTTCCAGTGTGCCTTTCCAGAATAGGAAACTCCCAGCATCATGTCCCGGACGCACTTTATTAGAGATTTAAGACTGTCTGCACATTGCACCTATCCTAGAATCCTATATTTCACCTGTCATGTCCAGCACTTTAAACTGTACCCATTGCATTTGGCCCAGCCATAGTTTTTAAATGTGTCATGGTGTATTGTTTTATTGTTTATTGTTACTGCTTTAATTCTCTTTGGTTTGCTTATGAATTATATAATGTATTGTTATGTTGTTGTTTTATTGAGGGCCTTGACCTTTGCAAGCCGCATCGAGTCCTTTGGGGGATGTTAGCGGGGTACAAATAAAGTTAATAAATAAATAATAAATAAATAACAAATTATTATTATTATATTCTACCCAGGGGACTCAGTGCAGCTATTATTATTATTATTATTATTATTATTATTATTATTATTATTATTATTATTTTCTACCCATGGTGAGTAATAATAATAGTAGTAGTATTAATGTTCTCCCCATGGGAACTCAAGGTGGCTATTATTATTATTATTATTATTATTATTATTATTATTTTCTACCCATGAGGACTAATAATTATCATCATCATCATCTCATGGGAACTCAAGGTGGCTATTATTATTATTATTATTATTGTTATTATTAACTTTATTTCTATCCCACCTTTCTCCCCATAGGGACTGAAGGTGGCTTACAATAATTATAACTATATTATTATTATTATTATTATTATTATTATTATTATTATTATTATATTCTACCCATGGGGATTCAGTGCAGCTATTATTATTATTATTATTATTATTATTATTATAAACTGCCAAACACTTGTCATTAAAACCTTCTGTTTTTTCTTCCTTCTCATCAGGAGAAGCAATACTTCTCTTTCCCTGGAGAACTTTTGATGCGGATGCTGAAGATGCTCATTTTGCCATTGATCACTTCCAGGTAAGAAGAAGAAGAGATCAATATATATCATAAATGTATACTGTAATAATCAGCATAAATTCAGCCCTCCGCACTGTTTGTGTTGAATTCCATTATAAAGTCTGTATGTTTTTAAGGTTTAAAAATTGTGTTGCGTTACTTTCATTGTGAGCTGCTTTGAGTCTTTTTTTTTTTTTTTGAGAGGGAGAAAATGTATAATAATAATAACATATAATTATGACAATAAATTTATGGTATAATAATAATAATTGTATAATAGAAAATAAATGTATTATAATCATAAATGATGATGATGATAATAATAATAATACTGTAACCCGTGGGTGAACTACAACTCCCATCATGCCAGGCTCACCCCGAGAAACTCAATCAATACTCAAAGTTTGTTATATTGGGCAAGTTTGCTCTAGATGCCTCATCGGTGGGGTTCAATGTAATCAAATTTCAGCATATCCATCGGTGTATTGTCGAAGGCTTTCATGG